CTCTCATTATTTAGGTATTATATTTCAATTTAAATTATCCAATTTCAAAATTTGTTTCTTAATATTTGACAGTTTTGAATATTACTAAATTATGTTTTGAATTTTGAATATTTATTTTGTTCCATGGTTCTAGTGTGTTTGTGCATATTTAAATTTTTGATAAATGTTAATGTAATTTTAAATTCTTGAGATTAAATCTATGAAATTGTTGTCATTGATATTTTATTTTGTTACTTTCCTTTTTGAATCAAAAAATTTTGAGACGTGAGATGGATAAATTTGTTAATCGACAAAAAAAGAATTTGCCAATAGAAGGTATGTTTAGTTGCACTTTGCACATATCGAAGGTATGTTTACTTCACTTTGCCAATTAAAGTAGTTACTATTCCGAATTTGTTTATTTATTGAATGAATTTTTGCCCTCCCAAGCAGTGGCGGAGCTAGGGAAGACTTCATGGGGGGCACAAATTTATTAAAAAACAACAAAAAAATTTCATAATAGTAACAACCTTATTTGGAAAAGTGCAACTAAACATACCTTTTATTTGCTCAAATGAGTAAGAGTTTTTTGAGGCCGTAGAAAATTTTTCCGAGATGCCAACTTTTGAAAGCGCTGCATAATAACTTCATCATCAATGCTCATAAAAATTTCTTTCGCAAAGTAGCATAATAGACAATCTGATAGCACCTCATCTCCCAAACGGTTGCGTAAATCCGTCTTGACAATATTCATCGCAGAAAAACTCCTTTCAACTGAAGCTGTCCCAACAGGTAATATCAATGCCAATTCTATAAGCCGATATACCAAAGGAAAATAAGTGTGATAATTCATCTCCACCATCTTCTTTGCAAGACTTCCAAGATTGGAAATATTAGCAAAAACTTCATTCGATCTCATGTCAGAAATATAATTTTGAAGTTCATGATTAAGCTCAACTCGATCACAAGAACTGAAATCTTCTGAATATAATACAACAAGTTCTAATAGCCTTTCTTGATCAAAACTCCCAAGAAGTATTCTCTGGCTCCGCCACTGACGTTGTTTTTACACTGTTTTGATGATTGTTAGTCGCAGAGACTAAAGTATGCATTATTTTTAATTAACGAGTACTATCTCGATAATTAATTCACCTTAAACTGATTTACGAAAACACATAATTATTGAGTACTTTAATGCAGTTACATGCATGCTTGCTTGATTACCCTGGGTGGTGCACGATGGGGAAGAGAATTGAGAGTGTTGGGTTTATTTGGTCAATCGCCACGCTATACATTAATTTGTCCTTCCTGCTTGTCACAACATAAAGTATTGGTATGCACGAGTAGTTCGTGCTTTGGATGCTAGAGAATTGCGCCCTAATTCAATTATTTTTAGTACATTCTATTATTGATCTATTATAATATCGGATATTTGATACTCCCTATATAATTATTTATCATCAAATATTACGTTCGTGATCTTTCATTTAAGATTACCTTTTTATAAATAGTTCTTTTTTACCTTCTATCATATTTGTGTTAATTTGAGGACTAAAAATATAATTTGACGTCAACACTATGTGCAGTGACATATTCTGATGTTGGCTAGACGACAACACAACAATAATGACTATGACTGCGGACTACAATTCCAACAAAAAACTACATCTGTAAACTATGATTGTAGTAGACATTAACTGTGATTCGTAAACGACGCATCAGGAACTGCCTTTGGAATTGTGAATGAAACAAAAGATATATGATCATTGTGAAATTATACTTTTAGACCTCAAATAACAACGTGACAGAAAATAAAAAATACTATTTGTTGAAAGGTACCTATAAAAGAAGCACCACAGACGTAGTATTTGATAATAGAGAACTAAATATGAAAAACACTTACTATAATGGACCAATTATGAAACTTACTCATAATTTTTTTGTCTAATCTAACTTGTCCATCTTCAAACTTTAAAGGGAACGAGTAAAAAGAATAGTAAGCGCATCTCCTCAAGAACTCTTGAGACTCTTTCAAAGACTATCACATCAGCATTTTAATAGTATTTCAAATTCTTCTCTAATTTTTTTGATAGTATCCAATCTTCAAACACCACTTTGCCACATTAGTATTTCACTATATTTTATTTTTATTTAATCGATTATCTAAAATATAATTGTATTATACATTGATTTTTCTACCAAATTTGTTTATATATAATTAATCATTAAAATTCAATAACAAAAAAGTAGAGAAAATTATACATATATACATAAAAGAAAATGAGTGTATTTCATTAAAATCATTTAAGTAAAGATACATAAAATATAAATTGCATAAAATAAAATTAAAAGCACAACAAATTAAAATTGCATAAAAATAATTTTAAGTAGACATAATTGAAATGTATAATTGCTCTATTTCCGTTTATCCTAAAGATAATGTCAAACATAAAAATTTTTAATTGAAATGCATAATCCTTAAAATTTCTAAGAGAATGTGAAACAAAAAAAAATAAATATAAAATTGCACAAAATAACAAAATCAAATTTTTATTTTTTTTAAAAATAAATTATTATTGATTATCCGCGTCTAATTTTATTGGATGATTTGAGTTTTGAGTCTTGAAAGTACGTGAGCCCGAGAATTCAATGACATCCTTTTAAATTTTTCTCTTTTTTTTTGTGCCTAATGGTAAAATTTAGAGAAGAGATTGAGGCTATGTTTTCCCCGACTTTTTTTTAACTTATTACTTATTGGAATCAGATCATACCAGATCAGATTAAAGAGAAAGTGTTTTTGAGAACGGAGGGAGTATATTAATTAAATAAAATATTATTTTGAAAATACTTTGTAAAATAATCATAATAAAAACAATGCACTAATTGGAAACAAGTCAATCCAAAGTTTAATCTTGCAAGTTGCAATTGTAGGCTTAGAATGATTTCATCACGTAAAGGTGAAATGGATTTCTGCACGAACCTTGCACAAAAAGTTTAATTTTGTAATTGTAGGCTAGCTCAAGAATGAATTTATATATGCTCCAACATTGCACGAACCTTGCACGTAATAACGAACATTAGTTTTTTTTGTTTAGGAAAGCCCCCTATATATATACTACTACTGGTATACAGTAACGTGAATCCTATAGGTTGAGCGACCGACCGAGAAAGTTGAAGAGATGATGTATATCGGCGGTGTCCAGGACGAAGCCGGCAACCAAGTCGCCGCCGCCGCCGTGCAGAGCTACGGAGGACTAGAATCTAGTCCTTTCCAGCCACCAATGACGCCGCTGCCGCCAGAATTCTCCTTAAGAGGCAGCGAGGCCTTTGCCGAGGCGGGGTACTTCGACCACCACCGCAGAGATGACCGATTCGGCTCCGCCTCCACTTCCACCGCCGCCCCTGGCCCAGTGTACTTCAACGACGGCCAGGACTTGAACTCCATAGTTGCGGCCGGGTTTCGTCCCTTCTTCGCCAATTCCGTACCGGAAACGGGCGGTTTCGCCGGATCTCACCAGGCGGCGATGACGAGCCCCGGCGGCGAGGGGTTAACGGCGGGTCAATGCCTTGACCAGCTGTTGTACGGCTACAACTGTCCCACCGGCACTCCGTCATTCGGCGGCGATGCCCTGACGTCACAACCGCCGCCGGTCTTCGCCGTCGAGCCTCAGAGAGGAAAGAGGGGTGGCGATGCACCCGGGCAAAGAACTTCAATTTACCGCGGCGTAACAAGGTTAGTTGTTTTGTCTTATCTGTTCGGATAAATAAATAAAAATGGTTTTTTTTAAATTAAATTAAATTGTTTTTAAATTATAAACAGAGAAAAAATAAAAATGTTTTTTTTTAAAAAAGGAGAAAAATGTGGTTGTTGATGGACCGCAGGCACAGGTGGACCGGAAGATACGAAGCGCATCTATGGGACAACAGCGGTAGAAAAGAAGGAAATCCCAGGAAAGGGCGGCAAGGTACAGTACCCACTTTTCTTTTTCTTTTTCTTTTTCTTTTTTATTTTACATTCAATCTAAAATAATTAAGTTTCTTAAATTTTGATTATTCCATATATCTACCAACAAATTTTTTTTTTATTTCGGTAAAACGCCCACCGTCCTAATTTCTTTTACTCTTCATTCCAAACATAACTTTTTTGCTTTCATTTTCTTTATCTTTTTTTGTTTGTCTCAAATTAATTTTATTATCTTTTTCAAGAAAAAAAATTGTGGCTAGCTAGCTAGCTAAAAAGTTTCTCACTTTTCATCTTTCTCATTTCTTAAATTTACAAAAAATTTTCCTTAAATTCAGTGAAAATCAGATCTAGAAGATTAACTTGGGATAAAATGAATTATCAATTTTCTTTTTACACAAATTTATTTGCATTGCCAATTTTTATATTTTCCTCGACTCGGAGAAAGAAAACAGAAAATCTGATGTGAAACGGTTCCTATTCTTAATACACCTTCCATTTTCTTTATGATAATTTATTTTCCTGGATATTTAAAAAATAATTTTACACTTTCTCACTTAAAACATTTTTAAAAGAGGAGAGAATATATTTTTAAATTTTTTTTTGACTTACAGACTGTTTTTGACGTTATAATTTTGTTGAAGTGATGACTGATTTTTAGTAAAATTTGGGAGAAGTGATTATACTTGTGTGTGCGGCTGACAAGAAAGTTGCATGCAATGGAAAGAGTATATTTTTTTTTTAATTTTCTCTTGGTCTCAAATCAGTCTTTTCTGCAGTGTATTTACATCAGTTATTGTCACACTGCATGACTGACCCTACCAGATCTGGCTCCTTCTTTGTTCTACTTCCATACTCCCTCCATCAATTATTAATTAAATTCTCACTTTCATTTTCTTCTACAATATCTATATAAAAAATAAAATATAAGTTTTCATTTTCTTAATGTATAAGAAAATAAAGATATTTTCTTCCTCTAATAAAAGTGTCACATTTAATTTTTAGTTTCCGGATACGAATAGCTTAGATGGTTCTGAGATAGGAGTGCTAAGTTAGTTCGAACCTTCAAGATTCATTTTCGGCAATGGTAGTCTAAGAGTTTTATCTAAACAATGTGATAGCTAGCTCCTTTCTAAGTATTTAGACTAAAATTATACTTTGATTTTTACTCTCACTACTTGTCGGACAGGGATTGGGGTACCCGGGTGGGCGTTTAATCTTTTTTTCACATTTTTGTCGGTTTCAAACAAAAAGTTCTATTTTCTATTTTTAGAAAATTCTGTGTGGTTCGTGCTATTTTTCTCTTTTACACTACTTTTGACCATATACGGAGTAATTTTTTTCTTTAACCACTTTTTTTCACATTTTTTGTCTGTTTCGAACAAAACATTTTAATTTTTATTTATAGAAAACCCTCTGAGACTCGTATTTTTACTTCTTTATCCTTGCATTTGATTCCTTGCTCTACATTAATCTTTAACCATACAAATTAAATTTCTGATAAACACTATAAAACACTAAATCATGTAAATTTAAAATATGACGTTCGGTGTAAATGTATGTCGTTAAGCATGAGTGATAAGGATAAGAACAACTCTCGAAAATGATTTAAACAATAATGGGTATGAAGTTACCCCTCCTCCGTGCTAAAACACAAATAAAAGACACAATTTAATTTATAAGAAAAAAATAAAATAGAACTTTTATATTTTTTTCTCCAAAATTGACCCACTAATGCTAATAATGTCAACATATAACACCAAACCACTGTAGAATGTTAATATACATTATCACATCGTCACAGTACAATAATCACATTTTTAGAGATAAATAGACGGTGTACTTAATTTCTATTTTGGGGGTAAGTAACATGTTTTGGTCCAATAAGGATTGACTTAATTTATTTCTCAATTTTAATTTATTTTAAAATTGGTAATAGGAAAAATCAAAAATTAAATTTTTGTATCTAAAATCATCAGAAAAATAAGAAGTAACATGACTATAGTATCGATTAGAATTATTTATTAAAATATGTAAGGAAAGAAGATGAAAAACTACCACAAATATTACTTTTTTTTCAAATGGCCACAGATACCTAAAACTTTCTCTATTTATCCCATCATTTTTCATTAGCAAGTGTGTGTTTGCGTGAAGAAAAGAGGCAAAATTGGCACAGAGTGGGTGTGGATAATTTTGGATACACGTACGTACGAAAGTGTACTCATTTTTTCCAACTTAGGACCTACTCTAAAACAGTGTGCTACTTAAATTCCACACTTTTTATTTTAACTCTTTCCGTCTCAAATAAATCTTTTATTACGACTTGACATATATTAAGAAAAATTTAGAAAAGAAAAAAATTGCAGAGTGGTTTTAAAATTTCTTTTAAATAGAGACAAAAAGATGACAAAATTATTTTTGGACGAAGAAGAATAAGGTGAGTGATTTTTTGGGACGGAAAGGGTACTATTTTCAGTCTTTATTTGTACTGATCAACCAACAACTGGTGTGATCAGATGGGCCGCCATTCTGTGCATGTTTTTTGGGGGTATGGAGTCTTCAGATTTGATGATTTACCGTGCAGCATTTTTTCTGTCACACTTTCTCTGCTTCATCCTCATCTTTGTCAAAAGGATTGTTTCCATGGATGCCTCCAAGTTTCGCACAAATAATTACCCGGACTATAATTCAATTTGTGTAATTGTGTTGTCATCTGTGTGAAACTTGGATGCACTTATATTAGTAACTATTTGGGGGCACGCTAGTGTATTCCTTGTCAAAAATCAAAATGGTTCCAGCATTGGCTAGCTCCTTTCATATTTAATTTAATTACACCACCTAATTAATGATTAGCCTAATCCAATTACCATTATTAATTCTCTGCTCCTTTGTTTTAACCCGCTGAGGAGTAGATAATAATGAAAAGTATAACGAAGTATAATTAATTAGTAATCAATCCTAAAATGGTTAAAAATCTACCATATAAAAAGAGCTCATTAATGCACAAAGAGTCTCATATTTAATACTCCCTCCGTCCCTAAATAAATTTTTCCCTTTCGTTTTTTCTTTGTCCCCAAATAAGCTTCTCTTTTCCCTTAAAAAACCCTTTTACCCCTTACTTTTTCATATCCTACCTATCACATCATATCTTTTTACTAATAATCTACATATCACATCAAGGGTATTTTTGGAAAGTCAACACAAAAATATCCCTCCCTTAAATTTTCAAAAAATCAAAAAGGAGAGTTTATTTAGGGACGGATGAAGTAATAATGATATAATCTCTCATCCAGTCATCCCCTCAAGTTGAATCACGTGAAATAAGTAGAAATTTGGAAACTTGAGGCTACAAGCACACCAATAAAAATGCTTTATCGAGGAGATCAACAAGTTGATTTTCAGCGAAAACATGATAGAGGATGATGGTGCCCCAACAATGATCTATTGACGAACACATTGACATTCTATACCAATGTGTTTCATACTTCTATAGAAGTAGACAAGATTCTAGTGAGGCAATTAGTGGACTGATTATCACGAACTAATTAAGGTGGTGATTGTGAACATCGGATCGGATGCAGTCAAGACATTAGAACTTTCCAAGCTTTACACTCTCACTCTCTAAGAGACTTCTCACTTTACAAGTGGATTTCTTTCTTCATTTCGATGGATGGAAGTGAAGGAGACTCTCCCTATTTATACTATTTCTCCATGGGTAGATTAAGGTTCGAAAACTTCCAAATCTCTAGAAGTTTCCTATCTTCATACACATCCATCTTCTTCTATAACCTTCCATAAGGTTCTAGAAGGCTTCACACTTCTCTAGAATATTTCAGAGGCTTCCACACTCTTCCATAAGCTTTTAGAGAAGTCTACACTTCTCCAGAGTTTTCCGAAGTGTTCTAGAAAGTTCATGACTTCTCTAGAGAGCTCTAGAATTTTCTAGAATCTCTCCAATTAAGAAAAAATTCACACAACAAAGTATACGTAATAGTCTTTCATAAAAGAAATCGTCCAAAATAAAAGTGAAACATAGCTCTTATCTCCAAAACGGAAAGTTGCATAATTTTACCTCTAAAATAAAGTTTCGTAATGTTACCATCGGACATGTATACTGACATTCTATAATGTTTTTGTTGTATTATATGTTGACATTATAAGCATTATAATTTCTATTTTGAAAATAAAAATATGGAAGACCTATTTTGATATTTTCTCTTTGTTTTACTCTTAGTTTAATCGTTGTTCGATCTTACGCATAACATGCTTAAAAATCTGCTAAAAACTAGAAGATCACTAATAAATTATTTGGAAATTGGGATGGATAATAATAAAAATTATATTATATCCATAAATTATCTTCTCATTCACTATTTACAGGGTCAAAATTTATTTATCTTGTTTGCATATTTTCTCTTCCGCATTTTATAAAATAATATAGCCATACTCCTTCCATCCGGAAATATTCTTCTCATTTGACTTTTCACGTCTCCAAGATTGCACTTTGACCGCTAATATCTTTATTTATACATAGATATATTTTATAAAAATTTGATATTTGAAAACTACGTTTCAATAGGAGTATATTGATGGTAAAGTTATATCATAATACAATGTATTTTCTCCAGATACTGGAGTCAAAGTTTACAAACTTTGACCAAAAAATGACAAATGAAAAGAACATTTTCAGACGGATGAGTATAGTTTAACTTCTAGTCTTTTAGATCTTTTAATGTACTTCATAATTTTTGAATTTTTTATCTTTTAGTTACATACCAATTTTTATATAAAATGATTTAAAAATTATTTTAATCATACATCACAACGTGAAAAAAAATTATGGGTGGATGGAGTAATACTCTATGAATTGGAACTTTGAAATTATATCATATACTCTGTAAATTGGGACTTTGAAAATATATCATTTAACAAATTGTCCAAATTATTTTCACAATACAAATGTGGTGGAGGATTATAAATTACTAGTAAGTTATTAGAAATTAATGGTTAAATAGATTTTTTATTCACTTTAAAATTCAAATTAAACAAGAGCTTTTGTTTAATCAAGCTTTGCTTTTTCAAATGATACAATTTACGAGGTTTTGTGTGTCTCTCTGAGCACCGTAAAAAAATGTCTCTCTCTAATCTCTCTCTAGAGGACATCTTTGGCAACACTCATTGTTCTAAAAATATCCGCCTTTGTCGTATTATGTGGGCTTCTATTGACTGCTCTATATGTTTTTTCCCATTAAGAGATACACTGAAAATTGGAAGAAAAAAATCTAATGAGGGTATAATTAAACAGGACATCATTTCCATGTCTAAGGAGATGACTTAAATTTCATTTCTCCATCAAAATTTAATTTATTCCACATTTGACATTGTGGGTGATTTATTCCACAATATCAATTACTCCATCCGTCTCCCATAGATCTTCCCAATAGCCCCTTTTCTTTGTCTACAATAGATCTTCTCATTTCATTTTTTAACAATTAAAATACCACAACTACCCCCACTTACTTTATTTATTACACCTCACCCACTTCATTTATTACACTCCATCCATTTTCATTAAGGTTATTATGGTAAACTTTCACCTTTTTTCAACTTTCCTTAAAAATCATCATAAGTCAAAATGAGAACATCTTAGGGGGACGGAGGGAGTATAAAATATAACCATTTTGGTGGCTGGAGTCATAAGTTTTTTACTTAATTCCCATAACAAAATGTAATTAAATAACCAGATCAATGTTTTATTTTGGAAATCACATTGTAGAAGTTGGTTATTTGATTTTGGACTTTCTTTAACATCGGATTAAACATGATCTAAGATAGATGCTTAATTTAATTTTTTTTCTCTATCTTTTATTTATTATGTAACCAAGAATGGAATGGTATTGAAAGCGCAAGAACCATGCATGCATTCGTTGTCTTCTTTCCATATTCTTAGTCTTACCTGGTTGTCGTCAACGTAACCCTTGTCTCACCACCTGACAAATTGTATCATCCTCGGTAAATTATAGAGTAATTAATTTGACTTTGCAATTTTGTTATATAGTACAATTGTTAATTTAGACTGCACTAAAAATTGATTATTTAGACTCGAATTGATTATCATTTTCTCAATTTTGCATGAAACGTGTCGATTTTCTTCGCGGATCTACAAACCGTGGGTTGATGGAGTGCAGTGTATTTGGGTAAGTTTGTTGTAGCTATATATTTAATGTTGTACTACTTTCATCCCATTGTATTCGTCTAGTTTGATTTTTTGAGTCAAATTGAACAAACTTTGGATGTTAATTAAATAAAAACTATAATGTTTTTTTTCAAAGCAAAAAAACTATAATAATACTCCCTCCGTACCTGAAAACCTTTCTCCTTTCTTTTTTCATCCGTTCCAAAAAACATTTCTCATTTCTATTAAAAAGTCACTTTTACCCCTCACTTTTTCATACCCTACCTATCACATCATACTTTTTTAGTAATAATCTATCCATCAAATCATACTTTTACCCATCACATCAAAGGACATTTTTGAAAATTCAATACCAAAATACACTCTCCTTAAATCTCTCTCCAAAAGCAAAACTCCCATGTTTTCCGGGACGGAGGGAGTATATATTTGTATAAAAATAATTCTACTATAGTTGTCCTGTTAAGAGCTTTAGTTTCAAAATTTCATTTCATTGTATTAATAGGTGATACAAGTTTCAAGTAATTTATTATTAAAATTTGGCACGAGAAAGTCGGGCTAGATGAATACAATGAGACAAGTGGAGTATTAGTTAGTTAACAGCTTGAATATATATATATATATATATATATATATATATATATATATATATATATATAAAATGTATGGATACAATGTGTATAGGTGGATATGACGATGAGGTGAAGGCTGCTCAGTCATATGATATGGCTGCTATAAAGTACTGGGGTTCAGATGCGATCACCAATTTCCCTGTATGTTATATTTATGAGTAGTAATCTTGCCAATTGCTTTTTCATTACATCGATCAATTGTCTATTGAGCTATCAAAGAAAGTACGTACGTCCTGCAGTACTATATATGTCTTATCTTTTGATAAACAATGGATTAAATCAGTTAATTAATTAAATAGATACTAGTCACGAAAAAAATCTCACATTAATCTCAATGACATTGTGTCAAATTAATTTCATCCATAACAATTGCGGAGTATTTCTCATCCGAATTAATAAATTTCAATGACATTGTGTTAGACTAAAAAATTCTTTCATCAGCTTATTACAACTACGAGTTTGAACTTATGGTTGAATTAGTTCTATGATATGATATCAGAGTTCTACTAAGGTAGAGATCACATACTAGTCGTTCGAACCTCACCATCACATAGTTCTAAAAAAAATGTTCATGTGCAAGTTTCGTGCAAAATTATTAAATTTCGCATTCACATGAGATCGAAGCATGCTAAAGTAAAACATCTTTAATTTATTGGACGCACAACCACATGTTTGAACTTGTGGTTGAATTTCATATCATTTGCCATCTCTCTCTCTCTCTGCAGGCCTCAGACTATAGCGAAGAGATGGAAGAAATGAAGGACCTGTCTAGGCAGGAGTTCATCGCCACCTTGAGGAGGTTAGTTTGCCCTCAATTAACCTGTGTGTTTTTAGTTAATTAAGGGTGTCATATGATTAATGTCTGATACATTATGTTTCATTTTATATTACATATTGAACGTGCATGTGTGTGTATATATATATATATATATATATATATATATATATATATATATATATATATATATATATATATATATATATATATATATATATATATATATATATATATATATATATATATATATATATATATATATATATATATTCCAGGAGGAGTAGTGGCTTTTCGCGAGGAGCTTCCATTTATCGCGGCGTGACAAGGTTTGTCTATAGATCGAATTCATAAACTTGGTCCCTCAGATCAGTTGAATTGTCATGTATGATGCAAAGATCCATTTAATTTGATTTCCAGGCATCGTCACCAAGGACGTCGTTGGCAGGCGCGGATTGGGCGTGTATCTGGGAATAGGGATCTCTACCTCGGAACATTTGGTAAGTAATTCACCATTTTGATATTAACTTTGAAAACGCTGATGATATATTACAAGTTTATCATAAAATCATGCATGGCATGTGGTTTCAGCCACGGAGGAGGAAGCGGCGGAGGCGTACGACATAGCGGCCATAAAGTTCAGGGGAACGCGTGCGGTGACAAACTTCGAGATAAGCCGGTACGACATTGAGACCATCCTGACCACCACCCTTCCCATCGGCAACGGCGCCAAGCGCAAGAAGCTTGGTGCCGCCGCCGGAGGTGGTGATGATGATCTGGATCGGCCTCAAGAGACTGGCGGGTCCCACGAGGCGGCAGCAATTCCGTATAACGGCGGGGCTGGTTTTGGGGACGACGGCATCTTCGGTAACTTCGGCATGGTCCAGTCCCCGGTTCCCATCAAACCGGTTCTGCCCGGTCCGGTTGTTCAAACTCATCCCTGGTATTACAACAGCCCCTTATTATGCCCCGGTCACCACCCCGTGGTCAACTCGTCGGTTGACTCTTCGGCTGATTCGCCTGGGGCCGCGACATTCGAGTTTGCGACCCCGTCAATGCCACCATTTGGTGATGATTTCTTCGCGTTTCCCCCTCCGCCGTATCAATTAAATGACAGCTACATTAATATTGATTACCAAGCTAGCTAGATCTGTTGGAACAACTCCAACAAGATCAGATTACTAGCTAACTGCTATTATTGAGTAATTTTTTTGGGTATTTAACTTTGAACAAGTTTTTTTTTATGTATATAGTTTGCCTTCTACCGCCAGTATTATTCACTCCGAGGCTTGGTTGGTGGAAGGCTCCTTTTAGTTTCTTAGGTTATATATGCATTGTTTTAAACCTGCATTATATTGCAGGGGCAATCTCTAACTATATATAGGAATGATTTTCCAAGTGTGTTTTGGTAGTTTAATTTGGGACTGATAGGATCCCCTCTTATGTTTATGAGACTGCTAAGCCATAGAGACTTCATTTCTGAGCATTGGATTTTTATTGGATGGCCCGACATAGATATCCCCAAAACAATATGAGGGCAAACTGCCCTTGTTTTTAAGGGATGGCTTTATTTTGTAAACAAATTTCACTTAAAAGAAAGAAAGCCCATGATGGGTAAGCCTTATTGATGGGGATGTACGGAGTTCGTTGGGGTTATGGCACAAGAAAGTCTTATCAAACCAAAATAAGACAAATCTAATTTTTTTTTTTAATTAAAGAAAAGCTACTAAGAATGAAAGTTTGAAGATGGGAAGGTAAAATCATACCGGAGTAATTTTTAATCTGTTCAAATACATTTCATTTAAGATCTACTATCTTTCTTTCAAATTTTAAAATTGATATCATTTTTTAGTGCAACTCATATCATATTAATTCTTCAAAAACTAATCAAACGGGAGCCTTAGAAAAAAGAGTGTTGTTTAACACGTTTTATCTTTGAAATAACTGGTACTCACATACCACTTTTAATTTGAACACAATTTCTGAACTATTTTACAAAGTCAAATTATTTTATTAATTTTTTATGAGATTAGAAAACTGGCAAGGCAGAGAGTATGTTTGGATGAGGGAAGTTTGCCATTTAATTTAAAACAAAGTAAAAGTTTATTATTGATATTTAAAACAAAACTTTTCTCCTTTTTTTCATTGGTCTCTAAAAACTTTTCGTATTTCTATTAAAAAGTCATTTTTACCTCTACTAATTCTTAACCTATCTATCAGATCACATTTATTGACTATTAATTTATCCATTAAACTTTACTTTTATCCATCACATTAAAGGATATTTTTGAAAACTCAACATTAAAGTATACTCCCCTAAAATCTCTTAAAAATTAAAACCTCTAGAGGGTGTATCTAAAACAAAAATGTCATTGAAGCACACAAAAATTGCAAATAAAATACGCCAAGAGAGAAAATGAGACAAATAAATCGAAAAGGTGCAACAATTGCATTATCATAGTGATTCATAGTGATTCATAGCATTCCCAATATCTTACCGTACCCGGCCCAAAGCCCAAAACTCTAAGCACTAAAATGCATAGGCGTATCCGGCCCAATTTCAAACTTCAAACGCTATACTCTCTCATATTTTACTATCCAATCTTATATTCTTATTTTCTTAAAATACTTCAATCTTTCATTTTTTCCTTAAAACATTTTCATTTTCTATTAAAAAAATTAATTTTACTTTTACTTTTTCTTACCCTACCTATCACATTATACTTTTACACTAGTAATCCATTCATCACATCTTACTTTTACTCATCACATTAAAACTAAAATTGGAAAATCAACTACAAATATACGCTCCTTATTTCTCTTAAAAGTCAAAATAAGAAATTTTTTATTAAATGGATGGAGTGGTTTTTAAAATTCATTCCCTTCATATTTCTTTATCACTCATTTCTTTAAAATTATACTCACTCTTAAATTTAATTTTCAATACACTTTTAAAAGATTAATTTTCTGAACTCTCTTTCTTTTTATTCATCTAGTGAGGATAAAATATTTATAGAAGCAATGTAAATTGTGGTTCATATTATTGCGAGTCTGAGTTGGAATGAAAACGAAAGGGTCATTAGAAGACAAATAAAAATCAATCGAGATCCTGTAGCCGAGAACCAACGTCTCTTAGAAAACTATTTTTTGTGCCGAGCCAATATACAACGACTTGGCATTCGCTAGACGCTTCTGGATGAGCAGACGTCTTTTTTGTAAAATAGCCAATGACTTGCCAGCGCAATTTGAATACTCCCAACAACTTTCAGATGGAAAGGGTAAACTTGGATTTATGAATTTGAGAAAGTGTACATATGCAATTCTCCAATTAGCTTACGATACAAGTTCTAATTTTTGGGATGAATATTTGAAGATGTCCGAAAAAATAAGTCAAGATACACTATGAGTTTTGCAAATGTATGTGTTCTTATAATTAATTTGTAAAAATTAAAATTTTCCCAATATATATAGTGTAGAATATTAATTTATTTTATATTGAAAGTGTCATGACATTATATGGTAAAAATGATTTGTGGAAACTATCATGGAATGACATTTAAAAAAATATACGATATTCATAAGGAGATGTATATATGGATTTCCAAGGATGCTTGGTAGCATTGACCGTATGTACTGGGAGTGAGCGACCTGCCCAACGACTTGACTAGGTCAATATTGATGGGGTGACCATAGTCACACGATGATAATGCTTGAAGCAGTAACGTCAAATGATCTTTGGATAAGGCATGGTTTCTTCAGAGTTTGCGGACCAAGTAATGATTTAAATGTTCTTGATCAGTCTCTGGTTTTTTACGATATTGTTAATGAAGTTACAACTACGTCATCCTTAATTGCCAACAATACAGAGAATAATTTTGGTTACTATATGACAAATGGTATCTTCCGAGAGTGAGGTATAATGGTGAAGTCGTGTACTTGTCTACGCGAGTACAATGTGTCAATGTGAAACGTGTGCTTTGAAGTAATGATGGCTTCTATTGGCTCCTCTATCGTCTATACTCTCTATAGTACGAAATACTCCGTACATGTTTTTTTAATTAAGCTCATTTTAGAGATGTGCATTGAAATTTATCCCAAATATGGCTATATTCATATCTTTTTCTTATAGTTGCTAAATCCACTCCATTAATATAATTTTAATATTGGTGTTAATTTAACAACTTGAAAGGTGTAGATTAGCCATTTCTAGGGTGAATTTAGCAACTCCCTTTACCGATATATTGAAAATTGGCTATTATGGAAGAAAAAATCTAATGCGGTCTAAACTCTAATCGGAACATCATTTCCATGTCTAAGAAGTAAGAAGATGACTTCATTTTATTTCTCCTTTAAAATTTAATTTCAACAACTGACATTGTGGGTGAATCATTAAAACCGTCCACTGTAATTTGTAAAATTGCATAACACTTTATTTGTTGGGGAAAAATAAAAAAAAGATCTTTGGTAACATTATTAATCATTCATTTCGATACAAAATATTCTTCATTTTTGAGTTTTTTAGTCAGACATCGATACTCTTTGATAAAAAATTAAACATAATTTAAATAAATAAATGTTCTAAAAATTTAATATATCAAAGATATATATCATAAAATGAATTAATTATATTAAATTTATATTATAATTCAACATGTTTTTCTCACAATTAATGATCAATATATGTCATTATTTAATAAAAAGAAGTCAAAACATAAATAATTTCTAAGGCCGAGTAGAGTATAAAATATAACCATTTTGGTGGCTGGAGTAATAGAGTCTTGACTAGATTCTTTTGCTTAACTCCTTAGAACAACATTTAAATAGCATGATCAAATTTTTATTTGGAAAGAACATTGTAGAAGTTGCATTTGGTTATTAGATTTTGGACTTTATTTAACAGCGGATTTAACATGATCAAAGATAAATGCTTAATTTAATTTTTGTCTTTTATTTATTATGTATCCAAGAGTGGAATTGAATTGAAAGGGCAAGAAGCATGCTTGCATTCATTGTCTTCCTTCCATATTCTTAGTCTTTCCTGGTTGTCGTTAAGGTAACGATTTTCTCACCACCTGACAAATGGAGTACTTCAAATCTCAACCTATATTTGGGTTTGAAATACTACAAAACCTATTTTGCTCTTAGAAATGGATTAATGGTGGAGGATGAACAATTCCAAAACTCAATATATACGGTACTATAAGAAATGCTCTTACATCAATTAATTGCCTATTGAAATAATAAAAAAAGTTTGCATACCGTACAATGCTAATGTAAAAAATCTTTCTTCTGTCTAGAATAACGATTCAAGTCTGAACTTGTAGTTGAATGAATTTTTTGATATGATGGATATGAGAGTCATACTAAACATAGAAGTCACTAGTCGTTCAAAAACCACCCGTTTAAAAAGTATTAATAATTACGTGCAAGTTTCGTGCAAGAATAAATTTCTCATTCATATATATGATATTGAATGCCATATCCGACCTTCTATTACAACAGCTTTGTTATGCCCGGTCCAGTTGATCAAACTGATCCCTTGTATTACCAACAACCCTTTTTTCTGCCCCGATCACTGCCCCGTCGTCAACTCATCGGTTGGCTCTTCTGACGATTATATTCACATGTGCCCGCGACATCCGATTTTGTGACCTCGTCAATGCCACCGCCATCGGGTGATGAGTTCTTCACATGGCCTGCCCCCTCCGCCGTATCAATAAAATGACAGGAAGATTAATATGTATTTCCGGCTAGATCAGACGAATATAGTTGCCTTCCACCGGGCCGCCAGAATTATGCACTCGGAGACTTGGTGGATGGAAGGCTCCTTTTTGTTTCTTAGGTTATACTCCCTCCGTCCATGAAAACATTTCCTCTTTCTTTTTTTATCCGTCCCTAAAAACTCTTCTTATTTCCTTTAAAATGACTCTTTTGTCCCTCCACCAAAACCCTACTCCATCAATACCCACCTGACATCCACCCTTTCATTTCACCGATTAGCGTATAATGAAGAGTAACTTTGCATGAGATTTCTCTGCCTCTTACATAAAAACTTTACTAAAATTTGAATGCAGAGTAACTCTTATGCCAATGAACTCATAGGTACTAATCGTCTCTGAATGCATTTTCACATAGTATTACTATATGTGAGTATATAGTACGCCAAAATACGTCATAAACAAACATTAGAATATCAAAAGATTTTACGATGTACATTAAAGTTTAGGTTGAGTGCCTTGATGATTCTGCTTCTTGTTTTTGTTACCACTGATAACATCACATTGACTAAGCACGAAACATGAATGCATTTTTCTCTTGTGACTACTAAAACTAATGAATTCACTATACATAATTCATGAATTATTAAAGACTACTCCGCATAAAAATCTATTAATGTTCGAATAAAAATACATCTTGAATTAGAAAAATATATTTCAGGAAAACACTTCATTAGAAATGGTCATTTTAAAGAACATATTCTAGATTTAGCTGATGAATAATACCACCAATTAATCATCATTTGATTGGTAAAAAAGATTTTCATTTAAGTAACATTATTTACGACAGATTATCTCAGGAATAAATCTCAACTATTGAAGATGACAGAAGTAATTAAAATTTATTAAAGATTGATTTAGTAAAACACTTTACTAGAGAGGACTCAAAAATACTCCGTAAATTATATTGGAACAGGAACCATAATCGCCAGTTCCCATCTCCACTACGATTCCGATTGATTCTGGATTCAGTCCAATTCTGAAGCTCAAGCAAGGTTTCAGTTCTAGATCTAGCTCTAAGCTCTGCCCCGTTCGTTCAATCAGATTGATTCTAACTTTCGATTGATAAACTGTTTTCTTCTTATCCTCAATCCTGAGTTTTACACTGAACGGCTATAACGTTTCCTTTACATACGCTCTGTATGACAACGGACGTGCTGATCCATATCGGGGTTCTACTGTTCACGCTCGGAATATTCTACGCCATGTACAGTCTTCCCAGACGAGCTTTCGCCCGGATCCGATTGAAAGCCCGATCCAGCAATCAGGCGCAGCAGCATTTCATCATGGGCGCCCAATTACTAACCCGAGCCCGGTCCGCCCGGAGCAAGTCCAACTCCTTCAAGCTTGCCAAGGCCGCCGCGGCCGCCGCCGACGAGGCACTGGTGATCGACCCCAAGGACCCGGCCGCGTACATTCTCAAGGCCGTTGCATTAGATCTAATGGGCCATAAGGCAGCCGCTCTGAAACTAATGGACACGGCGCTGTCTCAGCCGGCGGTCAGGGAGCTGCCGGATCGGGAAAGAGGGGAAGCTCTGTATAAGCGGGCGGAGATGCAGGTGGCGCTTAATCGGAGGAGGCGAGTCGCCTCCGCGGTGGCGGACCTGGAGCAGGCCGTGAAGTTGAGCCCGGATAATGCCGGTGCCTTTTGCTTATTGGGCCGGTGTTATGAGGCGGTGGGCCGGAAAGATGATGCCCAGAGGTGTTTTGATGGCGCGTTGAGGATTGAGCCCGAATCAGCTGAAGCCCGTGAGGGGTTGGGCCTTGTACGCCTTTGACATTTTCGGGTTTAGATTTTTAGGCTTTGTTTGGGCCGTGTACGTTAACATTTGGGAATGCTATGAATCACTTAGGGTCCGTTTGGTTTACGGAATTGATGGAATTTGAATTGAATTGGAATTGAAATTTCATGCATTGAATTGAATTCACCCATTTCAATTCATTTTTTGCACTGTCAATTTTAAATCCACACAATTTTTGTGCTACCAAACATCAGAATTTGAATTAAAGTCATCAATTCCAATTCCATAGTTTGAATTCCGTGTACCAAACGGGGACTTAATGATATTTGCAATTTTTGTGTGGACATTTATAATGATAACAATGCATTTGTTTGGCAATGGACATGTAGACATTAACAACAATATTATATATTATTAGAGTGACTACGGAAGTCGTTAAATCATGCATAGTGGACATTCACGGAGTGGCGGTGGGACATTGATGCCGGTCTTTTATTATCGACGGGCAGCGAAGGACAGTAGGATATAATGAGGTTGTAGACTTATGATTTCTGACCAACTTTATTTTCATTCAATTTATTTGATTGTAGGTGTAAAATTTATAAATAGAAGTTATAAATTTAATAACTATGTCAAAAATATACAAAACTAAAAGGGACATGATTATTTTATTATCAAATGTATAATGAAAGTAATAAAATAAAATATATAAAATTTAATCAGGTGAATAGTGTATGAAAAGATCCAAGTAGGAGGGACCGACGGAGGGAGTAGCTCTTTAAATTGGTTGTTTCTATATTTAAAAAATAATACAAAAATTATATACATGCTTATATATGAGTAGCAATAGAACACAAGTTTCTCATAAAGCCAGTCATAGATTTCTGTTTTAAAGACATCAGAGAGATACTAAATATTTTTACTAAAAATATTAATTTATGTAAAGACTTTTTTAAAAATGTACTTTGTATTAGTTTACCAAGTTTTTAAACAAATTTATAATAATACTGTAGCAATTGGATTGAGCTTCTAGAAATATTTCTTTTACTTTGACCTAATAACTTAATAAATTAATTTGAATATTGAGAATAAAATAATCTTGCACGGGGTATTTAATAATTTAAAATATGAATTAAAAAACCAAATTAATTTTAAAGGGACTAAAAATTAAATTTATAAATTTTAAAGAGATCAAAACATATAATACTTCGTATTTAAATTCAAGGACTATTTGAAAAATAATAATTTTATAGGGATGGTTCGATTAAAATTTTTAGAAGGATAAAAAATAAAACTCGTTAATTTTACCGGGATAAGAAACATATTCACCCTTTTCTTTTAAATTTATTATCTTATTTTTTAATTTTAAATTTTTTCTAATTATTATTTTTTTATGATTTTTATCTTCTCATTGAGTTTAATTTATATTTTATTTGAGGGGACCTTCAGGGATGGGCTCATCTTTTTTTATGAAAGAGGAAGTATTTTCCAGTAAAACAATTTGACTTTACAAACTAGTGATGTGTTCAATTAAAAGTGGTCATGTGGTATGTGAGAACACCTTATTTTAAAGATAAAACGTGTTAAACAACATACTTGAGTTTTGAAATTTAAAAAAAATGATATCACATCTTAAATGAAGGTATTTGAAAAGATTTAAAACGCTTCTTCTTCTTCTTCTTCTTCTTCTTGTTTCTCGATCACAAGAGAGAGAGATGATCGAGAGAGAGAACGTAGAAATGGATGAGGCGTGCGGCGTGTGTATATGGTTACACACACGAAGAAGGGTTATTTAAATATCCTAACGATTCGTGCTCCATAATTAAATAATGCGGGGAAAATACATTTTTTGGGCCAATTTACTCCGAATTCGTATATGTTTGCATCATTGGATTCGTCTTGTCGAACTCTAAGCAAGGGTATGGCTTTTATAACTTGTTGACAATTATTTCTAATTAACCTTGCATGCATCTCAATAATTAATTAATTAATTTTGATAAGCTAGATTTCAAGGCGTTAGAGAAGTATTATACAAATTTGATTCTTTATACATTGAGTGGTTTCGTACTCTCTCTGTTTCAAATTAAATTTTACAATTTGGCTTTATTGAGTTCAAGGTAAATTTTGTAAAGTGAAAAGTATATACTTCCTCCATTCCAAAATTGTCATACTGGTTGGACTATTTGGAAAGTTTGACTATAAATTGTTAAAAAACAAATTTAATTATAATATAAATTTAATATAATTTAATTTATTTTAAGATGTAATTTTCATATATCAAATTTTTATAATATTTACTGATTTATATATTTATTTAACTCATAGTCAAATAATCACAAAAGTCAAATTATAATGATAATTTTGGGATGGAGCCGGTATGATTAAAGTTTATGTAGAGAAGAGAGAAAATTGTAGCTCATATTTTCCATTCATTAAGGAAACATGTGAAGTGTGAAAAATAACGAAGAAAAGATGTAAATTTTATTGGGAGTACTTTTTAGAGCACTCTAAATGATATTTGAAAAAAACTTCCTCTCCAATCTCTCTTTACAAATTTTTTTCTCGATCCACCTCGTCATTTTGAGCAAACATTTCATACCATGTTAATGCTCTTCTTAAGGGGGGAAAGTCTATGAAGTCTCTCTCTCTATGAATGTTTGTCACATTTCTTTTTTCAACCATCACGAGAACTTTTGTTTATTTATACGTTTTCATTGATTATTTGATAAAATAAAATATTTTTGATACCTCTTATTTCGAAATTTTTTTACGTAGTTTTTAAATATGTAATTTTTATTTTTTATTTCTATACCAATATTTAAATAAAATAAATTAAAAAAAACTCGATATTTTTGCCTCATTTTTTGAAATGTGGTAAACATTTAAAGAGAGAGAGAGAGAATAGATAATAATTTGAATGGAAAAGATGGTGAGTTGTAGAAATTCTTGATTTTCTTCCACAAATATAGCTTGTTATAATAGACCATAAAATTGAAAGGCACTACATACTTTCCTACTGTGTCATTCTTTGCTGCTGGCCCCCTAATGCATTTTCACTGGGAGGCAGGCAGCCACTGATATAAATACACACCATAGACATATAAACATCCCAAAGTTATTGTCCTTAGCTGCTAGTGCTACAACACTCAACACATTCACATATTGAAGCTTCTTCTTCATATATACAACAACACTGGGTTTTTTTTAAACAAAAAAAACGGAAGAAACGGTGTTAGAAGGACTCATCATAAGTATCATTCCATTACTAGCTGCATATGGCGATTGAGATCCGTGAGATACGTTGTGGAGGTGTAGTCTTCCAAGTCTATAGAACCAGAGAACAACGGTCTCCCTTCCATCGACTTTGGCTTCGTTTCCACCTCTTCTTTCTCCCCTTTGAGAATCTGGATAACCTGCCAAAATTACTCCAATATGGGTTTTCATTTTAACAAGTGAAATTTGCACTGAATAGGACTAAAATATAAGTCATTTCCCAATGTAGGACTTGAACTTTTTTATTCCCTAAGTAAGACTTAATAATGACTAGTGAGAAGAATAATGTCCAAGTGATGCTAGACACTTAGTTAAATAATGACTAATAAATAATGTCCAATGGTCCTACATTGAGAAATAAAAACATATGGTCCTATATTGAGAAAGTCATTATGTTTTAATCTTATTTAGGTAAATCACCCTTTTAACAATACGGCTGATTCTATGCCTGAATCTCAGGGTTCTCAAAATAACTCATGAACGGTTATCCTACGTACCTTCTTCATGGTGGGGCGATTGTTGGCCACGTGATGAATGCAGTTTCCAGCTGCAGACATGACGCGCTTCATTTCATCGGTGTCATACGCATCTCCCAGTCGGGGATCTGCTATTGCTTTGATGTCATTTTTCTCTAGCAGAGGTTTTGCCTAAACATTGTAAAAGCATTGCACTGATGTCAATTCGGTAAAGATGTTTCTGATCTGATCTGGTGTGGCCTAATCTGATTTTAATAAGAATAAGTTGAGGAGAACATGACCTAAATCTAGTTTTAACTCGGCATTACTATTCCATTGGTATTTCTATGTCCAAACAAAGATTTATGTAATATGCTGCACAGAGACAACTTAAAGTCAACATACCCAAATCACAAGGCTTTGCCTTGAAGAATCAACTGCACGGCGACCAGTTATAAGTTCCAACAGCAAAACCCCAAAGGCAAAGACATCAGTCTTCTCATCAATAATTCCATGCATAAAATATTCAGGAGCCATATATCTGATATGATAAGACAACTGATAATTTAGTGTGCAGCAAATGGAAATAAAGAATGTGACGAAGAATGTTCTAATCATGTGCATCAGAGTGCTTTTCCATACCCAAATGTGCCTTCGATTGGGGAAACTACATGATTCACCCAATTTTCTGGGAGCCATTTTGCCAGTCCAAAGTCCGATATCTACACAACAACTAAATATAAATCGGCTTTTCTCTGTTCCCATCGGAAGAAAAGCTAGTAAAGAGGGAAATACACTCTAATTATGAAATACTCTAGATCAAGTATAAACCAGAAAGCATGCCATTTAAAACCTGTGGTTCAAAATCCTCAGTAAGCAATATGTTTGAAGCAGTGATGTCTCTGTGGATGATGCGCCTGTGACAATCAGAATGAAGGTAATGCAATCCTTCTGCTACCCCAATAGCCACATTTACCCTCACTTTCCATTCCAAACAATCTTGTGAACCTGATCATGAAAGATTTGGTTTTGGTTTTAGATTAAAATATAGGTCAGTACCTCATTTCACCTCTTAGACTTTATTTTGGTCTTAAAGTGTTTTCTCCTCTTCAAAATTTCTTCATGGAAAAACAAGTATAGAAAAGATTCGATTGTTAGCTAACTTTGCACCCATTTGGTAGCATTGTTTTTGGACAAATGAGTAAAAAACTAGCTTTTTATAAGCACATTAAATAGAAAAAACTTGGATGTACCAAATTGTTGGGGTATCCCTCCTACATGGAGGAAGGAGTTCCTAAACAATACATTTGGTGTTAAAAATGTAATTTGTTTAGAGGTGGAGTAATATAATAATAATAATAATTATTATTATTATTATTATTATTATTGTTATAAAGAAAGAAATGGGTCAAAGTGGTGGGGGCTACCACTTACCTTTGGGGCTGCCACTTTGTAGAAAAGGCAAAAGCCTTTTGTGGCTGGTCACGACTCACGAGCAGAAGAAAAAACAGCAGAAAAACAGAGAAGAAAAAAGAGTAAAACCGAGAGAAGGAAGAAGAGAGAAAAAGAGAGGTGCAGCCTGGTTTTGTGCTCCGATCGACGACCAAACGAGCTCCGATCGGGATGAAATTTTAGTATGTTGTTCCTGAGATCCTCTTCTTCATATCCAACGGTGGGATTGTTGTTTTGACCTCTCGATGTCGGTAAAATTGCCTCTGTTTACTGCTGCGTTTTTATTGG